AAGGATTTTTCTGATAAGTTTGTTTGTGGCAAAAGATTTATTGACTCAGGGTCATGCGTTCGAGTTGATTCAATTGTGCGTGCCATCTGCCGGTTGCTGTCATGAGGAACCAAGGTGCCAGGACACCATGCCAAGGTTCCAAGTCACCCCGGCCGCGCTTGATCCTGCAGATGCTTGTCGACCAAATCCCATGGAGCCACCAGACACACCTGCCGTGAGGGCTTGGGGTTTACTTAGGAGTGCATCGGAAAAAATGTGCTCGTGCGGAAAAGCTTGCTTGTGTTGTGCCAGTCGAAGCCTCGTGCAAAGCCGGCAGCACCACCTGCTGCGGGCACACTCGGACTGAGAATTGTTACGGATTTGCTTATTCTGCGACATCGACAAGTCACCTTCCTGTAGCACGCCTCGAGCCAAGGTGTTCATCTCCTCAACCAAATTCACTTCTCAGAATCTTCCAACACAATGTGACAGATTGGCGACGAAATGCATCGGTCCTGGAAGTGATCTTTTTTTGAAGGAGCGCCCGATGCAGCAGTTCTCGGCACACATGTTCTTGATTGTTGATCGGGTTCCGGACATTTCGAATCCAAGCAAAGAAAAAATTACGGGTCCTTGTGATAAGGATCCTGCACTTTAATGTTTACAATTCTCAGCCCATAGAAAGCTTGTAATAGATCCTTCGTCCTGGACCTGCAGCCAGAACGCCGCACTCTGGGCCCCAACTCCTGAAGCCTTGAACCCTATTGACTGCACATTCAAGATCTTCATAAGACTCTCATAATGCCCGAATTGCACATGATCTTGGAGTCTCTTGTTTCTTGGGCTCTGGCACCACTTTCTTGCCTTTCCGGTACGGAGGCGGATCAGGGTTCTTCAAGTTTCGGACGTTGCGGTAGAAGTCCTTGCCAGGCACGGAGGGCTCGCAAGCTTTTTGTTTGCATCCTGAATTCTAGGGCTTAAAATCTGTTTGCATGGCTGTGAAAGACCTCAAGTCAGTGTTGAAGCGGCTTGGGGCTCAGTGGTGTAAGGCTAAATCATGGCAGCGAATTTCGTGTCCTCAAAAGGCTTGACCAACATCTTCCGGCCCTCCTGCACAGGCGTCAGTCATGGGAACGCTTTTCGATTTCATCGTGAGCTGAGCTTGCCAAAAACCGTCCAAGAGTGAGGCATTGCGACGACTCAGGACATGAAGTTGGCAACCTTGTTGTGGAAGTACTTGAGCCACCAGGGAAGGAATTCGGCGAAGTCGGCCTGCAACATGTTGCTAGCCTTCACAAGGTGTCTAAGAGGATCTGTACGGACAGCACCTTCAATTCCAGAAACCACCATGTTGGTTCCAGCTGGGCAGGAGCAATGCTTTGGGGATGCATCGCCTGTCGGTTGGAAACTGTGCCAGTTTGAGCCTCTTGCGGGGATCCGAAATCGCGAATTGAACCTATCCGCATTCATCTGAATGCAAAAGCTGCTGATCTTGTCTATTTTGGTCTAGGGTATCTGCATCCTGCAGATGTTGGTTGCTTGGAAGCAAGTCTCCTCAAAACCTACACTGTCGCATCTAGCAGTTCACAGGAGGCAAACTGATGGCTGATTGGCAGACGTGCAGCAAATCTTGTGCCGTACCAGTGGTTCTGATTGCAAGGGTGCTGCGACAGCATCGGGGCTGGGGTTTAAGGAATTTGCATCTTTGCGACAGCAAGACGGCTCTCAAGCCTTCCCACTTCCATCATGGTCCAGCTCCTTCCAAAAGTGCCTCGGGAGCAGCGCAACTCGGACCATCGTCGGAAGGTTTAACTGGTGTATCGACCAAAACAAGGTAATGCCTTAATGTTGAAAGTGTTGCACTCTTTGTCGGCATGATTCTTGGCATCTTGATACTCACACTCATACTCGCACGATGGAAGCCCAAAGTTGTAGCTGCCGAGAGCAAGGATGCAGAAAGGTGTCGACGCAGTCTGGAGAGGTTGCGACCAGATTCCGGTATGCTCTCTCCAATCAAAGCTGATGATTTCCTATTTATCTCGAGTCTGATGGTTGGCCTTTGTAGCGCTGTAACTCTGTAACCGTAGTTAGAGGACCTGTATTAGTAACGAGCATGCAGGGTGGCTCAGAGTTGCAATCTCTGTTTCTGGGCAACTTCCGAAGTCACAGAGGAGCGTTCTGGGATCTTTTCTGGTCTTCAATTAGGAGGACTCTTGCGAACTCGATACAAAGCTGTTTGACGTGCAGCTATCCGAGCCCCAAGCTCAGCAATCTGTGCATTTAGAAGTTGAATGGTTTAGGGCTATCCCCTGACAACAACCCATACACAAAACCCCTACACAACGAAAGCTTTCCGGCCTGACGCGATTCACTGGAAGATCCAAGTTCTGAGGGACCTGTGCCAAGACATGGAGGCTCTCAAAGAGCAAAACTACTTAAAAAACCCACACAACTCCTGCCAATCCCTAGCATCTATAACTTAACCGTACTAAATCCCGAATCTTACCAGCCTAATCCTCTACCAGAACTGCTTTTGGAGCCGTTAGGTCCCCAGGCCGGGGGTATCATACCAAAACAGACTCTCGAACCAGAGGCATCCGAATACTTAGAATGGCTTCTAAGGGTATAGTTATCGTAGACTTATGAGACTATAAGGGAGTAACATGATTACTAAGTAAAATTTAGGCTTGCATATTCATGGTCCTTAGGTGGAGCTGGAGTCTCCGAGTACCTATCCCTTTCATCGCACCTTTTCGGTACAGTTTTGGGGGGCAGCCGAAACACCCGTCCGTCTTCTCACCGTAAGAGCCACGTGGAAGACCTTATGGACCCTCTGAAAGCTTTGTGCGCGCACCCTCATTGCGTCTTAACCCCTGGAAAGAAAGCGTGCTGCAACCAACCTGTTAACTTTGTCTTTATGCTGTGAGAGGACCCGGATGAGAGATCCTTTCCAGCCACGCTCAGACTTCATTGCAAAATCCTTTGACTCAGGAACCTAATTCTGTGACGGGGGGTTCTTGTTTCTAGTGTTCCCACCATAAGACTCAGCGTTTACACCCTCCAATGTTCAACAAAACTCTTTCATTCGGAGGTGAATGTGGCTTAAGTGCCGGGCAGGTTTCTGCTTGTCCGGCCTGGAGAACTCGTCGAAGGACGTCGCTAAACTCCTGCGCTGGGACATTTTGAGCATGGAGACTCTCGTTGTCTGGTTTGGGGATTGTGTCTACTTGATGGCAAACTCGTTTAATGGTTCGGGGACGTAAGGC